TACCAAATCTAAATCTACCACTTGACCACCAAGGTCCAACTTCATCAACAGGGACTCACACCCGACAAGCTCCGGAGCAGGGATCCTACGAGGAACTAAAGACCTTCAGACGATGACAGCCACTCCCCCACCCCTTTCCTGGGGTCGTGACTGATGAAGCACCTGAAATCCTTCTGGGCACATTTCAGTGAGGGGGACTCCTCCCTCCGGGCCCAGCCAGGTTTCAGTAATACATGCCAGGTCAAAGTTTTTTAAAAATTGCCTTGATCTGGCAGAACTTTGCTGATGAAAGTATTTCCAAACCATCCCTTTGCTGTTTGCAGCCTTTCTTCTGAACCTCAAGTGGATAGTCTGCCAACCTTCTGTAGTAGAAGGGGAGGGAGGCAAATAATAAACTGGGATAAAACTATATCTCTATCCTTTTTGCTAATGAAAACCTCAGAGTAACTGAAGAACCTTTCACCAACTTATTCTTAAAAAACCTTAGTAGGTTCCCACCTGCCTAGACAATTTTTGCCTAGATTCATACAACTCCAGAGAGCTTCAAGGCTGGTCCCAATTGGTGTTAACAGGGAGCAAAATATCTAGCTCACAGTCACTTCTTTGTGGTATGCTGCAGGGCTTAATGCTCTCTCATCTCCTTTTTAACATCTGTATGAAACCACTGAATGAGATCATCTAATACCATGAGATGAGGTATCATTAATATGCTAATTTAACTCAAGTTTACATTTCCATCCATAGTGACCCAAGTGATGATGTAGCTGCTCTTTTGCACTGCCTAGAGGCTATGGGTGTCTCTATAGCTGTGAGTTCAAAAGATTTAACTGTAACATGCAGTTACCCATGCCCTAGTCATCCTTAAATTGGATTACTGCAATGTGCTCTACATGGGCTACCTTTGAAGAGTATTCAGAAGCTACAACTGGTACAGAATACAGTGGCACGGAGGTTCTAGAGGTCCTTTATGTGGCAAATGTAATACCGCTGTTCTGTGACCCACATTGTTAATTTGCTTCCAGGCCCAATTGAAGGTGTTGGCCATTACCCTTAAAGCCCTTTGTGGTATTTCAGGATATCTGAAGAGCTGTCTCACCTCAGTGGGACTAGGGATTCCACTCATGCCAGTGGAAGAGGCCAACTGCAGATCTTGCCTGCCAAAGGGTCCAGAAGAGCCTCTGAGAGAAGATCCCCACGTTGCCCATCCCCTTGGTTTAATCCTTAATTTTAACTGCTTTATATTATCTTTACCTTGTTATTATATTTTAAGCTGCCCAGAGTTGCCATTAGTGAGATGGATAGCATAAAATTTAATAATTAATTATAAATAAATAAAGTAAAATAATCATTTTCTTCACTTTAATATCAGAAAGAAAGGATATCCATACCTCCAAGAGCCAATGCTCTGAAACAATGTATATGCCTCTTTCTTTAGCAGATTTGTATTCTCGGTTGTTATCATTCTGCCTTCCCTGATAGATGAAATGTGTTACAGTTTCATCAAAGCACCACCTAGAATAAATGCAGACAATCAACACTTGTTAAATAATTGCTAATTCAGAAGAAGATAATTAGTTTGCACGTAGCAGAATTCACCTAGATAGTGAATATTTCTGTTATAATAAATTTGGCCATTATCTGTCTACATAAATTGAAAAATTCTTAATCATATTCTGATACACAAGGATATATAAATAAAAATCCATACAGTCCTTAACAATTTGAATTGTTACTTCCTGCCCTGAATGTTTAAGCAGAAAGGATATTCCCCCAAGTCGCATATATTAAATGTTGTTAGGACAAAAGAAGCATACATTTTGTCACATTTCCTGCCTTTTAGAACAGGGCCTCCATAGAGGGGTAGAGAGACACAATGCCTTCTCTCCCAGAGTTCTGAAAGCCTGTAAGATCTGGCTCTGATCCCCAATGTATTTGTGAGGCCCTGCTATGGTTTGCTATTTTTATTAATATTTTAGTCTGGGCTGCCAGACTTTTATTGTTTGTGCATTTTGTACACCAACTCTGTGTGTGTGTGTGTGCGTGCGTGCGTGCGTGCGTGCGTACGTACGTACATACATACATACATACATACATATATATATATATATATTCAGAAATACTATAATTATATATAATTCCAATGTTTTCATGTTTAATTTTCTACAACCATCATTAAATACTTCATAAAATGGATTACAATATTATATAGCCCATTTGAATTTATAGAGCTATTAAAATTTAAATCTATAGTCCTTCTAACAATGACTACATTGCTTACAGCTGCATATACCTGTAATCTGCTCCAAGAGATGCAGCAATAGCATTCAATTCACTCTGCTTTTTACTGAGCTTCTTACTCACACAGATAACAACATCTGCTAAAGGTTTTGATTCTTCTTCCTGAACAAGTTAGGAAAAATATTTGAACGCTTCAATTTTCAACATTTCCAAGTTTCCAGCATTCATTTTTATACAACTCTTTATTTAAGGGAAGGGGTGGGATTCATTTAATTCTTTCTTTCAATAAAATAGCTCCATTGTGCTAAGTTAAAAAAAAGGTATCTCTAAACAAAAATGGCACTGCTAGCTACCGTGTTTCTCTGAAAAAATGACCCACCCCAATAATAAGCCCAACCCTGGTTTTTTTGGGGGGTGGTGGTGGACCTATTACCCCTACCCTGAAAATAATACAGGTATAATTAAGGCCAACCCCCCCCCCCCCGGTTTTATTTTTAAATAACATTACAAAGTGATGTCACACCCTCAGGTCATTGAAACATACACAATGGTTGCCCATTCAGTTCATATTATGATGTTAGACATCTGAGGACAGAAGAACAACCATAGCACAAGAGAAGCAAGCACTCCACAAAACCAGAGCTGCAAATGCTGCAACAATGGTGCCTACACATGTCTGCCCAACTTGTGGCAGTACTTTTCATGCCCGTATAGGCCTTACCTGCAGACACATAGTGGGCAACTCAGAACCTGTTAGATGTGAGGGTCCTCTTCGAACATGATGGACGATCATCATCATCATCATCATCATCATCATCATCATCATCATCATCATCATGATGTAATAGAAATTTACTTAAAAAAACTGCCCTACATGACTTGAAGATTATAATGTTCCAAAAGTTTGAAAATTAAGACAAAACTTTCAACAATATAGCAAAAATATGTAATTATGCAAGCTGAAGTTCCATACAACAGGTCAGCCCAAATATAAGAAAGACATAACAATAACAAAAACAACAACAATAATAAAAATTATCTTTAGCAAATGAGTGAAAGATCTGCTAACTTCCATAAACAACATTTTAACTTCCATCCCATCCAACTCACTATATGAGACCAACCAATTAATGTATAGCACAGCCACCATTATAACGGCAGAACTGGGTTATAAAATGCCAAAAAAGAAACTCACTGGAACCTCAAAGTGGAAAATTCGACATGAAAATAAAATTAAAAGAACTACGAGGGGATGTCAGCAATCTGAAGTACTTGAAAGAACAAAAAGCTGAAAAATAGTTTATACAAAAAATACAATCTGGAGGAAAAAAACAATAACAGAAATCATGGAAGAACTAAAACAACATACAATAGCAACAGCAAAGAAAATTGAAAGATACGAAGGACAAATAAAACAATATCATGAAAATGTCCAGTTCAGAAGAAACCAACACCTCTTCTACCAGTCCCTTGATGAAAATTGAGTCCAAACTAATGTTCACCCATGTAAAGAAAAAACTTCGAACTTTTGGAAAGAACTATGGGAAAACCCAGTGGAAAACAACAAACCTGTATCGGTTGAAGGAGGAGCCAATGTCACGACGTTACAACGTGCAGTCTCGACACTCCGAGACCGCCATTGATACTTTTGCCGCTTGACGGTCCATTTGGACCTAAACCGTCCTGCAGAGACGGTGATCAGGAAGACAAAGCCTTGCTGGTCTCAGGGACATTGCAAAGTCCCTGATTGACCCAAGGGAAGCTCTTCAAGCCAGCGGTAAATAGGCAGCTGCAGGCTGATGAAGTCGGGACGGCTCCGGAAGGAAGGAAGTGAAAAGAGAAAGTGAGTCCATCTGGTGAGGTATTTTTTCTATTTTGGGAAAGACTGCCCAAAGAAACTTTTTTTTAAAGCCAAATTAGATCCTTAAGCAAAAAAATTAAGCGGCGAAATGAACTTATATTGGATTGCTTTGGAAAGCTTTTTTTTTTCTTTGAAACTATACTTTGTGGATTGAAGTGCTCGCAATATTTCTCATTTCTCCTCTTAAAGTGAACGGATTAATTTTTTTTCTTCTGCTTTTTGTTACTTTATTTTTTTGACTTCTGGATTAAAACCTTCCTTTTTATTTTAACAATTCTTCTTATTACNCAAACATCAGCCAGGCATACCATTCACACTACATTCCTAAGAATTCGCGGAGCACTACGCTAGTGCGATATAGGACAATGATGGGCAGATGGAGGGCGAGTAGAATAGATAAATAATGAATATGACTGTAAAATGTAATTGTTATTGCACGAAACATTTGTACCCAGACAACACACTGCTTAATAGACTGTTTATATTAAGATAAAATAAAAACTTTACAAACAAAAACCATCCAGATCTGCCTATTCCAGGTACTCAGTACGAAGACAATCCAGTCTGAATATCGGGTTGACTGTGCAATGAACCAATAACAGCAGCAGCAGTAGCAACAACAACAACAACATTATTAAAAGTCTCATAAAGGTGCCTCTCATTTCTTTTTTGTCTGCCAAAGGATTTTGCCCTCCAGGAAGTATTGCATCCCCCCTTTTTTCCTTACCTGATGGTTTATGATTACGATTGTTAATCCATGGTCAATAATTATCTCTTCAAATTAATGTACCCATACTATAAATGTAAGGCAATGCTTCAGCCCTGACCGGCAAAACCTCATTGGAGATTAGATTGTAACAGTACTGGCAGCAAGAAAATAGCTGAAAAATATTTTTAAAATATATAGTTCTTTAATGACACAATTGTGCAATTTTTGCAGTCTGAAGGCCATATTTAATTGATGGGCATGGCCATGTTATAAAAATAGGTAGGGCCACGATGAGAAAGATAGGTGTGGAAAGTGAAAAAGAAATGTAAGTATGGTACAGAGGACATTGTGCCAATTGTTTGCAGTGCATAGGCTGTATTCCCATCACAAACCTCCTGATCAGTTTTGCTACAGCAACTGCTGCAGGGACTGCGTAGGTTCCCAATGTGTTTCCAAGTAAAAACATTACATGGACTAGAAGCTTAAAGATGAAAGAACGGTTTAAAAAAGCAGCAGAAAGAATCATGTGGTCATGTAGTATGAAATAAGGATTGTCTGAATGTTAAGGATAAAATTAGCTTGGGGAACAATATCATCAAGAAATAGATAAACTACACTTGAGGAGCCCAACCATCTACGTTGCACACATCAGCTTTGGCCTTGAGCATCTCTGTAGCAGATTATGCTCTCAACTGCGGGGCGTATCTGCATATACAAAACAAGTTGATATCACCATCAATGAAGCAGTACAGTGACAGGTGGTCTCAAACCTACACTGATTGGAGGGGAAAAGTCCTCTTGCTGGCATTACCCCACCTAAGATTAGGAGAGAAATAGCAGCGGATGCTGAGAGAACTAAGCAAGAAAATTATCCTCACCATCCTCATTGGACATGTGCCCCAAACCTGCCAACTCAAATCTAGGAAGAGTTTTGTGGCAAGAACAAACATTCTTGAAGGTACACACAAGAACAAAAGTGAATTAAAAGATGGAGGAAGGAGACCATCCAGCAGGGAATAACATTAAAGAAGGACATAGCTGAAGGATCTAACCTCTCTTATATTACTTGGAGGATCCTGAATAGAGTTGGAGTGCCTAAATGTAAAGCCAAAATGCTCAGTTGGAAGCTGTTGGCAGATAGCAACACGCTATGTGAATGTGGAGAGACACATAGCCCAGCCTATCTGCTGGTATGTCAGCTACTTTACCAGAAACATACAATGATTAATTTTTTGTGAATGACAAAACCAAGAAAGTGGCTTCATTCTGGAAATTTTAAGTTTGATGTAGACATAGAGGAGGAGGAGGAGGAGGAGGAGTTAAGGGAATATGGTAAGCTGGTGAATGAATGGACAAAAGGATAACTATTGAAATTATTTTTATCTTCACATTTTGGCTTTTGAGAAGAGTACTGTCTGAAATCCTTCTGATCAGAAAGCTATATGTTGAAACATTCCAAATCAATAGCCACTATCAGTTTTGTCCTCAACAGATATTATTTCCTGTATGATTAATCCTCATGTTTTGGGGTTGACACTGAAAACTTGAAAACCAGGAGCTCTGACGAGCAACCGTGTGGATTTTTTTTTCATGTCTGTCTTGAGTTAACATTGATAGACTAGAGAAGAGAGCTGCCATGCTCCCTCCCCACTGTAGTAGGGCCCTGCCCCTCCCTGTTCCCATTCCTTAGTTTCACCGCTTGCAGCCAGAATACAAAAAATGCCATGTTCAGCAAAAGAAAAATTAGGATGGGCAAGGGCGTTGGCACCAGCAAGCTTGGGAGAGATCTGACTTGGTTCTGTACAGTATAGGCAGCAACTCAGAGGAAGCCTAAACAAGCTAGCACCGCCTTGCCCTGGAGCTCCTGGCATCTTCAGCACCAGAGCAGTTAGGTATCTTAAGCTTCTACCTTCAATTCCTTGATGTTCTACGGCCTGGTCCCCACCCTATTCCTTATCCAGCTGGCTCTTGTGGCCATCTCACAAAATGCACAGCAGGAGTTTCCTTTCTTGGTGCTTGCATCAGAAAAAGTGAACGTCTACTAATAGATTTCCCAGCCTAACAGAGCCTGCTTTGACATTTCAATCCCGTTTTAAAATATCTGATTAAAACACACATGCTGTGGCTGTTTCACACATGGCAGGGTACAGGAATTCTGCTTTTCAGTGATCTGAGAGCTTTTCCTTTTTTACAAGCTGCCTGTGTGGGGCACGCACTTTCGCTTTTTATCTATTTCCTGCCATGAACTGGCAGGAAACTCTGTAAGGTGGGTTTTTTGCCAATTGTTATTGAGTGGAGGTGCGAAAAATAAACACTTCTGCTTCATGAACTTGGTCAGGGCTCAAGATGCCAATATCTTATTTCATCAGAACGGCAAGATAACACTTTACACTAGAGATTGTATCTAGCTTTTGGCTTGCTTTCTGCGATTAACTGACAATGAGCAACCATGTTCAGTGTTACAGTGTATTACTTACTCAACCTATTTTGGGCTTCTGAGCAGGAAACAACCTCAATGTTGCTGGCAGACGATCAGCCAACTTTATACTTATGATAAGGGTATAGGAATTTCCAGAAGTGGAGTTCTTCTTC